ACCCGGGGGAGTCAACCTAGAACCTTGTATAAATAGCCAAGCCCTCTACCACTGCACTGCCTCCAAGTCCTTTATGAATCTAATTTTGAACCAGGGTCTCACTGCCTTGCCTGGGCTGACCTTGAACTTGGGCTGACCTTGAACCTGGACCGATGGCTCGCCAGCCTCCCAAGGAGCCGAACTTACAACACGTGTCACCACACGCGGCCTCTCTGTTTGTGAGAGTGCAGTTCAGCGAGGTGGCGGTCTTCACACGGCTGCGTGTGGGCTGGAGGGCGAGCTCGGCCCGTAGGGCAGTTCCCAGTGCCTTCTCCAGCTCCTGGAAAGCAGTTTTTCTGTTTCCAGGGTTCCGGCGGCTTTCGCTGCCTCAGGTGGGATTGCAGCATCTGTCACTGCTTGCCTGCTGCTGCTCCTCCTCGGCTCCAGGCCACGGCCGCCAGCACACTGCCCAGTCCAGGGCCTGCCCCCTCCCGCTTCCCATAGCTGCAGCGAAGGCTTTTGGGTTGGATTCTTTTGCTCAGCATGGTGTACCCAAGATGTGTCCATGTTCTAACATCCAACCACATTTTGTGTTGTGTGTGTGGGTGTGGTCTTTTTTCTTTTTAAAGGCTAAATAATATTCTGTGTGTGTCAGTCCATTCACACACAAACCATCTTTTATCTCTTTTTTTATGATGGGTAAAGGTTGGACTGCTTCCGCTTTCTGGTATTTTAAGTAACATGGTGATGAACGCGAGGACGAGGTAGTTTTGAGGTCCTACTTCGAGCCAGCCAGGGCGCCAGCCCCTCCACGCCCGACAGCGCGGTTATTGTCTCCTGATGGTGGCCACCCGTCTTAGCTGCTTCTCTCTCCTTGCTAGGCAAGATACCCGACACCCAGAGTTAAGGAGGGAAGGTGTCCTTAGCTCGGTTTGTGGGTCAGAAATCCGCTGGCTCCTGGGCAGGGCGGCGTGGTGGGGGGCAGCAGTTCAGAGCGCAGAAGCAGCAGCCGCAGCGAAGGGGAGAGCGAGGCTCCTGCCCTCCCTTCTACCCTCGGCCAGCTGAGGGTGTGCTCGTGAGGACCCGAGCCCCGCAGAATCCCTTGGTTAAACTTCTCACGTCGAGGGACGCAATGAACAACCTGGAGGTAAGGGGTGTCCTCTGCACCCCAGGACGGGGAACTCCTGAGTTACTTAGTTAAGCTTTTAGACTTGAGGTTGACACAGTGTATCAGGCACAGCCCTCCTAATGTGTGGGAGGCACAATCTCAGTGTGGTCTTCATTTTCATTTCTGTTGGGACTGGAAATGTTAAGCGTCTTTCTATGTGTTTGCTTTTTGGCCATTTGTATATTTTCTCTGGAGAAATGTTAATTTAGATTTCCACCCAATTTTAAATTGGACGACGAATTTTTTTGTTACTGTTACAGGAGTTCCTTTGTGTGTCAGGGTGTTAAATCCTTATCAAATGTATGATTGGCAGATATTTGCCTCTTCATTATTGGCAGTGATATTTCTGCAGAAAATTTAAATTTTGAGGAAATACAATTTATCTTTTTTTCTTTTACTGATTTTTAATTTTTCATGTCCTATTCAAGAAATCATTGCCAAATCCAATGTCCTAATGTTTGGTTTTCTATTTTCTTTTAGGAGTTTTACAGTATTTAGTCTCAACATTTAGATCTTAAGCCTATTTTGAATTGATTTTTATGTATGGTGGGATGCAAGGGCTTATCCCCCAGCCCTTGCACGTTGCTGTCCCAGTGCCACGTTTCAGGAGGCCCTCCCTCTCCCCGGTGTTGTTCTTTGCACTCTAGATCACTTGGCCCGTTCAGGAGGGTTCACTTCTCGGTTCTCTGTCATGCTCCATTGGCCTAGGCCTGTCTCTGTGTCAGAGCCACAGTTCTGGTCACTCTAGATGTGTAATGGGTTTTACAGTCAGGAAGTGTGAGTCCTCCAAATTTGTTTTTCTTCTTTAAGATTGTTTTGGGCCTGGGGAGATAGCTCTGTGGTCTAAGCACCTGCCCGGCAAGGGCAAGGATCCGGGTTGGATCCCTGGTACAGCATGCTGTGCTGGCCCTGGAACCCTGGGTGTGTAGCGCTGGC